GCACTGGGAAAAATCTGCTGTCAGAGAATACCAAAAAGCAATGATGTCAGTCTAGAGACTAAGGTGCGCCTGATGCAGGCCATGGTTTTCGCAATTACTTCTTGTGCATCAGAGAGCTGGACAATGACTAAGGATGACAGAAGAAGAATTGATGCCTTTCAGTTGTGGTGCTGGAGAAGAGTCTTGAACATACATACATACTGCCAAGAAAACAAATAGGTCTGTCTTGGAGAAGGTGAAACCAAGTTTCTCCCTGGAGGTTAGGATTTTGAAGCTCTGTCTCACTTACTTTGGACATGTGCCCAGGAGAGACTTGTCCTTAGAGAAGGACATCATACTCGGAAGGGTGGAGGTACAGTGTGGGAGAGGAAGACCCCTGATGAGATGGATTGATACAGTGACTGTGGCAGTGGGGTTTGGTGTGTCAGAGTTAGTGAAACTGGCTCAGGACAAGGAAGGGTTCAGAGCTGCTGTACATAGGATTGCTGTGGGTCATAGGACACTCGATGACACCTAACAACAAAAACAATCATTATAACTGAATTATAAATGTGGAAATTGTTGAAAACAACAATCGTTCTGTTGTGTATAACAAGGAGTGTGCACTTTTTAAGACTCTGTGCCTCACACTTCTAGAAGCAGTGACTAATTTCTGAGTTCTGGAGAAAGAGTCATATCCCACCTCTGCTGCTCACAAGCTGTGGGGCCTTGACCACAGTGTCACCTTCATCATTGATGAGATGGAAGAACTTAGCATATCACCTGGCTCGTCGTGATCATTAAAGAAACAATGGCTATTTCCGGAAGTAGCATATGATCAAGAACCAGTAGTGCTGAAGGAAGAAGTCTAAGCTACACTGAAGGTATTGTATAAAAAGAATAAATCCCCCAGAGGCACACGGTTCGAATCCACCAGATGCTCTGCCGGGGAAGGAGGGACAATCTCCTCCTGTACCAGTCAGATCCGATTTGACGGTACACACACAAAAAAAAATAATAAATAAATAAAAAAAGAATAAATCCTCAGGAACTGATGGAAGACTAGTTGAGATGTTTGAACAAACAAATGCAGCAGCCCTGGATCAGCTTACTAACTTAGGCCCACAAATTCGGAAAACAGCTACTTGGTTTGACTGGAAGAGATTCATATTTGTTTACATTTCCAAAAAAGGTGATCCAACAGAGTGCAGAAATTATCAAACAGTAATATTTTTTTAAATTTTATTTAATTTTCAAGTCAAATCAGGTCTAACTGGCACAGGAAGAGATTGCCCCTCCTTCTTCAAGCATCTGGTGGATTTGAACTGCACACCTTCAGAATTACAGTGCAGCTTCTTTTCCACTAGGCCACGAGAGCTCCCTCATAAACCAACAGTAAAATCTTACTACAAGTTCTTTTAAACGACTGGAACAGTACATCAACAGGAAGCTTCCAGAAATTCAAGACTCATCAACATCCTTTGTTATACAGATGACATAACCTCGCCTGCAGAAAGTCAAGATCTGAAGAAGATCAAAGGCCGTCACACTCAATCTGAGTTATGTCTCAACATCAAGAAAACAAAAACACTCACTACTAGAACAGTAGACAACATCATGACAGCTGGAGAAAGATGGAAATTGTTAAATATTTCTTCTTACTTGGATCCACAATTAACACCCATGGTAACAGCAGTCAAGAAACCAAAAAACCTGTTGCATTAGGGAAATCTGCTGCCAAGAACCTGTCCAAAGTGCTAAAGAGCAGGACGTCAGTGTCAAGACTGAGGTGCTCCTGAGCCAAGCCATGGTATTTTCAGTTGCTTCGTATAAATGTGAAAGTGGGGCAGCGAATAGTAAGGCAGGCTGAAGAAAATCAATGCCTTTGAGTTGTGTTGGTGAAGAGTAATGGACATACCACGGACCAGGAAGGGAAAGGTCCTAATCCGTCTTAAAGGAAGTGCAACTAGAGTCCGTAGAGGCAAGGACGGTGAGACTTCATCTCACATACTTTGGGCATATTGTCTGGGGAGTTCAGAGTTCTGGTGGCCTAGTGGCAAGAAGCTGCACTGCAATCCCAAAGGTGTGGGGTTCGAATCCACCAGATACTCTGCTGGAGAAGGACGGGCAGTCTCCTCCTGTACCATTCAGATCCGATTCAACGGTACACAAGAATAAAGAAAAAAAAAAGATATTAAGCTGGAAAAGGTAGAAGGCCAGCAATGGAGAGAAAGCCTCTCAATGAGACTGAGGGACACAGTGAATTTGGCCATTTTGGAAGTCACAAGGACGCTAAGGGTCAGATCTGGTGTCCATGTGGCCACCATGAGTTGTCGTCCACTGGATTATCACGTAACAGCAACAAACATACCAAATAATATAACCAGCCTGCCCCAAATCCTCCTGGGTGAGGAGTTCTGCATTGCTTTGGGCTGCTATGTATCTTGCAAGATGCTGTCTCTTTGAAAAAAATTCCTTGCTCAAGTGAGTTTAATCTGTCTGTTAGCGAGAGACACACCTCGGGCTGGAGGGTGGTCCTTATAATACCCTGAGGCAAAGTCGTCTTTGTGTCTTGATCTAAACCAGCAATGAGTCAAGGAGCATGGATGAAAATGTGGCCTCTTTACCTTCTCTGGTTCCTTCAGTCACTAAAGGTGAAGCCAGGGCCTCCAGGACGGGCCTGGGGTGGGGCTCCTGATCTCTGCCAGAGGGGAGGATCACTAGGAGAGGTCTAATGCTTGCATTGATAAGGACCCAGAAGGGTGGCAAGAAGCTGCGCTGCAATACTGAAGGTATGTTGTTTGAGGCCACCAGCCGCTCCTCAGAAGGATGGGCAAGCTCCTCCCACGTGATTAACTGCCTCTGAAAACCCGCTGGAGGGTCAGTTATGGGTCAGTTCCGACTCTGGCACACAGCAAAGAGAGGCAAAGGCAGTGAGTAATCCAAGCCACACAGCTTAGTAAAACAGACTCAGGCCAGTTAACTCCTCAACCACTCCAGGTAGCGTGGGTACCTCTTTCCCTGATTGTAAAGTCCTGCCCCTTGGGCCCAGAAGGGCTGGATACTGCTGACTTACCTCCTCCAGGGCTGACAAGGGTCTTGGCCCCTCTCCTGTTGATCACGTTTAGGGTCTTGTTGCTGGACCTTTGCCAGAGACAACACTCTTATTTCATTCACAAGACTTTCCAGTTTTATTAGTAAAATACAAAATGGCATTGACACTGGTGATGAGTGTTGGAAAAGCAAAAGGATCAACCAACGCCTTCTACAGTCATCCCAAAATTGTCCTTCTCCGTGTCCTGCTTGAAGAACTAACAATGTCTGTCAGCGGAAGTGGGGGGCGTCAGCCACCCCATCTCTTTTTCACAAGAGTAGAGTCTGAAGACTTGTCCCTTGAAGACTCTTCCAGACTGGAGAGGCCAGAACCAAGTGTGTTCAATACTGCTCTCCTCTTCTCTGGTGACAACAAGCTTCCCAAATGTCCCGCGCCAGTCCACAGGAGTGTCAACAGGCATAGCAGCAGGCCCTCCTCTGCGGACCACAGCCTGTTCTTTTTCTCTGAGCTTTCAGTCCCATCTGCAAAAATATGACACCCACTGTTCCCTGGACGAAGCCCAGTCCATGGGAGGCTCCTCAGGTGGAGGGAGGGGTTACTCTGAAGGGTGAGGGTGGTGGTCAGCCCAGTTAGCCTCCAGGCCCCTCTGGGCATGTCCGAGCCCTTAGTGGCCAACAAGGGAACCCTTGACTCGCCCACAACTTCCCTCCCCAGAATCCCTTTCAAAGACAGGCTCCATCACCACGTGGAAACTTGTGGAAATTCCTGCCCACAATGGGGGCGAAGGTGAGGGAGATCTTCGAGTGGAGAGAATAGTGTTTTCAGGAACGAGAAAGGCGAAAAGGGAAGCCGGGTCACAGGGACAAAAGAGCAAATCCTGGACTTAGGATGTTTGAGGCGGAGGACATCGAGCCCCGTTCACCTGCATAATGTAGGGTGTCTCCCACAGCTTTGCTCTGGCTGTTTCCGGGAGGCCTCGGCATCCTAGGGAGCCTGTAGGCTCACCCTTAGCCCCTCAGCCAACCCCACTGGCAGAGTCCAGGGCACAGAGAGGAGCCTTCCAAAGTGGGGTGCCCACCTCAGGAAGTCTGCGGGGCCCCACACTGCAGTCCTAGCAGGCTCTCCAGCTCACAGGGTCCAAGGATACGGTCTAGTGGGAATGATCATTAGGGGTCAGCCAGGGCTATGGGGAAGAGGGGATCTGGGTTGATAAGTGAGTTCCGGTGATAATGTGCTTGCCACGTACTTATCTAAATTCAATTCTTTCCTTTCACAGATGGGAAACCAGAGGCACAGAAAAAGGACAGGGGCCACCCCTCCCCCCATCACGCACATGCCGTGTGGCTTTGATGGCAGCCCTGTGACTCAAACTCCTCGCCTTCACAACCTAGACCCTACCTCTTCCCACAGCGCGCGGAGCCTCAGCTGGGAAACACCACACTAGCCTCATGCAAAAAAAAAAAAAAAGAAAAGAAAGAAAAAAACAAAACACGTGTCCCCGGCTGGGGTGGACTCTGTACAAGGGCAGGGACGATAGCACCGCAGGTGGCCGGGGGACTTGGCAACTGCAGCGGGACCAGGAGACACAATGGGTCTGAGGGTGAGGGCGGAGGGCCTGGCTGGAGGCTCACTTGTCACGTGGGGTTCCCACCAGGGAGCACGGGTCTGAGGAGCTAGGGTTCAATAAATAATTATTCATCGGGGACCTCTAGCCAGCCAGCAGCAGAGGGGACGTTTCTGGATCGGGACGTCAGAATGAGTGGTGGAAGCCACCCCTCAGTCCCCAAGAAGTCAAGAACAGTCAAGGGTGACTTCCTGGGGTGTGCATGGGAGCTGGGAGCCAGCCTGTCTAGAGGACCCCGCCTCCCAGTTCCAGCCAGGCCCTTGGATGTGAGTGGGGTGGTGGATGGGGGGAACCCCAGGCTACTGTCTGAGTCACACAAGTGGATGCAGGCAGGTGGACAGCTCACACTGGCACCAGCACATACGAGTTAGTGCCACAGCTCCGGGGGACGTAGCGTAGCCCTTCCACCATCTCCCCTGCCACCTTGCGGGAGCAGCCCTGGAAGCTCTGATAGGTGAACATGACCACCCCCAGGCAGAAGAGGAGGCCGAGGAAGGCCAGGAGGCCCACTGCCTGCCTCCGCGTGGCCGCCTGGGCGTCAGGCACAGGAGTGATGAAGACACTCAGGCTCTGGGGGTCTCTGGTGGCATGAATGGCCTCTGTGGCCTTGGGGGCCCAGCTGCCTTCAGCCCCAGACTCCCTGCTGAGAGCTCCTTCAAAGGATAGGGGGTTCACAGAAGCATGGGCCAGGCTGCCGGGTCCCCAGTCCAGGAAAGCATCTGTGTGAACTGGGACAGATTCTGGAGAGTTCTCTGGCTCCAGACTTCGGCCCTTGTCCCCTTCAGGCCCCATGTGGTCCTCTGTGGCTGAATGTGAAATGATGGGGGCCTTGGTGGAGGGGGCCTCTGTGGAGGGGACCTCAGTTGAGGGGGCCTCAGTGGAGGGGGCCTCGGTGGAGAGGGGCTCAGTGGAGCGGGCCTCGGTGAGTGGGGTCTTGGTGGAGGGACGCTCACTGGAAGGGCGCTCAGTGGAGGGGGTCTCTGAGGCCTTCCCTTTTACCCAGAGGCCTGGCCCAGCTTGGTAGGTGGCAGAACTGGGCCAGGTGATCATGGTAGAGATCATGGTGGAGACTGTAGCCACATTGAAAACCTCAGTACCTCCGGGCCCAGCTGGGGGGCCCGCATCCTCAGTCTTTGAAGCTGAGGGGGACCTGGTCTCTGAAGACACAGCCACTCCGGTTGGCAGCTCAGGGGAAGTCCCCAGGGCCCTCTGTGCCTCCTGGGAAGGAGACGTCAGCTCCACACCGCTCTCCCCTGTAGCCCTGGGCTCTGTCACAGCATGCTGGTCCGTTCCTTCGGTGCCTGGAGTTGTCCTGGGCTCACCCACGCCGATTTGCTTCTCAAACTTGCCACTATTTGGGGTCAGAGCAGTTGCCCTGCGGTCCAATTGCTCCATGACTTCCTGCACCCACTTCTCAGCCGGGTCAGCACAGAAGACTCTATGCTGTTTGGTTCTCAAGCTAAAAGGGAGGAAGACAGAGATCCAGTGACGCCTGGTCACCAGAACCCAGGCCACCGTGGACAGGCCTGGATCCCAACCCTGCCGCTGCTGCTTATTATCTTTGAGGCCTGTGGCAGTTTACGTCACCTCTGCTGCTTCCTCTCCTCCCCTGAGAATGGAGGAGATACAAATCCCTCCCACCTCCAACCAAACCATAGGGTTGCTATGAACCCTAGTAGCTTAGTGGTTGTGCTGTCAACCCAAAGGCATGTGGTTCAAATCCACCAGCTGCTCTCATGGACAATCTATCTGCCCCTCTGTGATTTACTATCACTGAAAACCCACTAGAAGGTCCAGTTCAAACTTTGCAGAATATAACAACCACAACATGGGTGTATTGTAGGGCACTCTGATTGTGTAGCATTTAGTGAGTTGCACAGTGACCCCAAAGGCATCTTCAGTGGGTTCTAATCCACCAGCTGCTCCCTGGGAGAAGGTTGAACTGTCTCCTCTCACCAGGATTGACAGCCTCAGAAATTCAATAATGGGGTTTGCAACGTGATGGCACTGACCTTAATGCAGTCCTTTATGGGGTTCTGTGAGTTGGAACCGACTGGACAGTTAATAGAGTTTGGGTAGGGTGACCAACCGCCTTGCATAAACTGGAGGTGAGTGTGTCCTCAGGATGTGGGACTTTCCATTTTCAAAGTGGAAAAGCCCCAGCAAGCCTGGGCTGATTTGCTCCCTCTCTCCTGTTGCTGCAAAAATGTAAATCACGTGGAGCTCTTGACTCAACACAAGAACCAGTAAAAGCTGATATTAATAGACATGTTGATGATGGAGTCATTAGTATTAAGATGGAGGCTCTCAGTTTCCTGAACGGACCCCACACCTAGCAGGTGTGGGGTCGGTGAGCTCGGTGGCTTTCCTCAGTGAGGAAAGAACCTGCTTCGCAAGGTTTCCTCATTCTCTCTCCTGATTGTTACTTTCTGGCCTCTACGCTTCCTCTCCTGTGTTTGCCCTTGGGCTGCAAGGTACCTCGTGAGCAAAGCCGCCTATAAAGAGGTCCTTTTGGGACCCTATATTCCAAGCCTTGAACTTCCTCTAAAGTTATGAGAGAAAGTGGCTGGTTCATTGTCAAAATCGAGGCTCAGAGTTGGCCAGGCCCTTTGCTCTGTACCATAGCTGTGCTGGGCATTGTGGCTATGTCTAAACTTCACACCTATCCCACTTGGTGGGCACCACATTCATCGCTGTTTTACAGAGGAGGAAGTTGAGGCTTGGAGAGGGCAATGGGCCTAACTCCAAGCCACAGACACAAGCGTGCTCCTGCGGGCTCCCACAGGCATGGTGCTGCCCTCTTCTGGGGCTTCCCCTTCCGTTCTTCACAGAAAGAAGCAGCACGGATTTGGGGGGAACCTGGGAGAAATGAGCCTGAGGTTGAGAAGAGGATTTGGGCAGGAGCACACCCCACACTTCGCCTCTCGGAAGCCGACCCTGGAGGCATGAGTGTGCGGGGCCTCGTGCAGCTGAGCTACACTATAAAGGGTCTCTGGCCGCTGGCTGCTGCCCGTCCAGGTCTCAGGCTATGGAACTGGACAGTGTCTGAGAGGAGCCCCGGGGAAGAGAAGAGGTTCCCAGAAGCCTGAAGAAAAGGCATCTGAGCTTGTGGAGCGGGGGGTCTGGGCTCAGCTGGATCCTTCCCTGAGGCCACTTAAAGTCTCCAGACCTCAATATCCTGATCTATCAAAGGAAGGAAGAAACCTGCACTTCAGTACCCATTTTACCAGGGCTCAGAAGGCGAACAATGTCACCTGGGTCACACAGCTGACAAGGGGTGAGGTCAGGACTCGTGCCAGCTGGTCAGTCTGGGGCTGCACTTGGAGACCACCATGCCTTCCTCCCCACGAAGCCTAGGCCTGAGTGCTGCATGGAGCACATCCAGCCTCTGAGGAACGTCCTCCCTCAGCGACAGTGACAGCTACAGCCCCTTCCGAGCCACTACAGTGGGTCATTCAGGAAACGCTCCCCACCTTGGTCAGGCTGCAAAGTGACTAAGGTCGGCGAGGTCATAGGCAGGCCAGAGCGTTTGAAGGGGCAGACGGGGGGTGGACACAGTGGTGGCGGGGGAGGTACCTACATGATGGCCGGCCTGCCGCAGGACGGTCGGTTGCGCTCATAGCTGATGAGTTTGGCCAGCATGATCCTTGACGTCATCTTGTTGCACACGACGGGGCATTTATTCACAGCATGGTGCTGACCTGGGTACACAGAAGCCCCGGTCAGCAGGCCTGCCAGAGACTCCCAGCTTCCTGGCCCCATACCAGGCCCCTCCTTGCCCCAGCTCTACCCTCCCTGCAAGACCCTGATTTCAGGTGCTGCCGTCACCAAACGTCTCGTGCCTCAGTTTTCCTGCCTATTAAAAAGGGCAGCGACAGGTGAGCTCTGGTGGCCTAGTGGCAAGAAGCTGCACTGTAATCCCAGAGGTGTGCGGTTCGAATCCACCAGATGCTCTGCTGGAGAAGGAGGGGCAATCTCCTCCTGTACCAGTCAGACCTGATTTGATGGGACACACACACACAAATAAATTAAAAAGGGCACCTCAGAGCTGTTGTGAGGAACCATGAAAATGAAGTCTTACTTATAAAGTACCGATTGCCTGGCACAGCAGGAAGTGCCAGCTGTCGTTGCTCTGTTGTACGGAGGGGAGTGACAAGCCAGAGAGGGACACAGAGAGCGGGGGTGAGGGGATCTGTCTGAGGTGGCACAGCCAGCAATTGATGGCATTTTGGACTAGAAAACTCTTCGGGGAGGTGAGAGGTTTTCCTGTGTGTAGACGATTTAGCCACTCTAGGCCCTTCCCAGCCAAGGCCTCCCTACCCTCCCATGCTCTCCTTCACCCCCCGCAGCCCACCTGGTCAGCGATGACCACCCCAACACACACTCACATACACCTCTGCCTCCCTCTCCGACTGCTTCACTTCACGGGCCCTTCTGGGCCTCGGGGACAACAAGCCAGACACAGCGCACCACATCTGCAGTCACACACACACACCACCCACAAACACAGCGACATATTCACATACTCCACACACAAAAAAACATCCAAGGACACACAGGCAGCAAGAAAACAGGTAGCAGATAGCACACGTTTTTAAACGTGTGAGCGCAATTGCTTTCTAAGGAAGGAGGGGTCTGAGGAATCCTTGGTTCTGCTATGATGATTTAGGAACGGAAATGTCCAGCATCAGACAGACGTGAGAGCTAAGCTGAGTGGAAGCAGGAGTAAGGAGGAGAGATGGAGATGAGGTGTGTATGTGACAGAGTCGGGGGACCTGGCCAGGGACATGGAGATGGCTGTGCCAGGTGAAGCCACAGAGAAACTCATCAGTCATTTGAAACTGTTTTCATTGTGTTTGGCCTCCCCTTTCTTCCAAAATGCCCAGCAAAATCAACTCTGCCTGGTGCGAACAAGGGGCAGCGGTGTAAAGAATGAAGACCTTGAGTTTCAGAACTGAGTCAAGGTTACGTTTAGCAGGAGCAAGGTCCTCAAGGAGTTTGCAAAGACCTGACAGCCAGGATTCCCAGGGCTGAAATGGGGGGACCGAGCAGCCTTATCTAATTCTGAGGGGCCTGAGGGGGCCCTAGCTGATACCTGAGCATCACCTAAGCACACAGGATCACACACAAATACAGACACAGTCAGAGAACACACACCACCTTTTCTAATACAGATGCACACAAGTGCCCAGCACTGTTTTCTAAAACCTGTTCTCCTCATCGCCCTTCAGTGGGAGCCGCTGCCTGTGGGTGGTGTGTGGTTCAGGGTCTACGGGGCTGGCCTAAGGACAGGATGGGTCATCCGGGGGGCACTAGCAGCTAGGTCATGAGCAGGCAGACTCATGTGGCGGCTCCCCAAGCTTTGAACTGCCCTTTGTCACTGAGGAAACACCCTCAAGAATCAGGATGTGAAAGCTGGCCTGCACACCCTTTTTCTCCCCCAGCAGGGCCTCCGGATGACTCAGCGGAGTGGAGCCGAACGGTTGCACTGTGGCCAGGCCGGGCAGGTGGGTGACTTTCTGGGAAAGCCTCAGAAAGGCTGTACCCTGGAACCTGGAGTTCAGTGGAGGTAAGGAGGCCCGCAGGTGAACCTGAAGGATAAGAAGGCCCACCTTCAGAGCTTTCAAGTGCCACCAGTCACCCTACGCTCCAAGTCTCCACCCTCTGGGGTGCCGCATGCCTGAACACCACAGTCCTACCTGGGCAGGTTGTCATTTATGTGGCCGAGGTGTTTGCTCAGGACGCTAGGATTTTCTTATCTTTTCTAGTACCTTTCATATTTCAACACCTCAACCAGGAGTGTCAGGAGGGTGGGGACCTCACCTTGTCTGGGTGCCACAGTGTTCTCTAATACCAAGGATAAGGCGAATACACAATTAATATCCACTGAGCGAATGAATTTTCAATTTGTCTACCGCTCCTCCAATTATCCATTTGTTGTCCATGATAATGTTATGTGCTGTTGAGTCGACTGTACCTCACAGCAACCCTATTAACAATAGGTCTGAATCCTGCTCTATCCTGAGCCAGTCTCACTGTCTCTGGCACATCTACTGCCATTTCTCCAGTCACTGGGTCAATCCATCTCCTCCAGGATCTTCTTCTCCTGTGCTGGCCCTCTACCTACCCAAGCCCGGTGCCCTTCTCCAAGGACTGGACCCTCCTGGAACATGCCCAAAGTATATGAAACTCTGTCTCATCTATCCATTTGTGTACCCTCAATTGCCACCTTGTATCTGCCCCCGTATACCTGCTACCCACTCTCTTATCTGCCAACTCTCTGTCTCTATCCATCGTCTCCCCCACTTCTTCTACCCAACCATCCATACTTTAATAGCTAACACATCCGTTCATCCATTTTCTGATTCAACATTTTTAAAAACTATCTTTGAGATAAAACCCCAGGCCTTCCTTGTCTTTAGCTCTGACTTTATTCTTCTGCAGGAGCTGATTCTAAGCTGAAAGAGAGCTCCTCAATGCCAATAAATTATATCCAATCACCATGCTAATTCCATCCACCAACACTTCTTGCTAGTGCCAGACACTGTCTTGGGTGCTGTGCGGCTAACTGGAGTGAACATGGCCTGTTTCTACTTTCCAGGGTCCCAGTTAAATGGACAGCTAAGACAAGCTCACATGTTTTTTGATGTTGAGCAACCTGTGTTCAGTACAGGTACACATTTCCTCTCTTTAACCCCCAACTTTTCTGCAAAAGGGAACTCGTTCCATTATCTCCACATGACAAATGCAGAAGATGAAGTGTAGAAAGGTTAATAACCTGCCCAAATGCTGTGTGGTTAGTTTTTCATACTAGCCCTAGATGGTCCATGGTTCCAGGCCACCTCGAACACTGGGGACAAATGCGGACTTGCAGAACACATCCGCCTCCCATCCCCACCCCTCCTCTGTGCAAGGAGAAGCCACTTCCAACTGCACGTGATCAGGGAAGCCTTCCTGGAAGAGCTTTCAACTGGCCTTCGAGGACTGCTAGGAAGCCAGCAGGCAGGAATGAGCAGGAATTTCTGGGTGAGACAACAGAGACAAGCGTGGCCAGTTGTTTCAACTTTCTGAGCCTCATTTCCCTTCTTTTTAAAATAGAAATGATGAAGCCTGTTTCACAAAGTGGTTGTGAGATTAAATATTTCATATATCTAGAGCACTCTTTTCTTAGAGAGAGGAGCTCTGAAAAGAACTATGAGATATCATCTCACCCCAGCAACAACAGCAAAGTTCAACAGAGCAGCAAACAACAAACGCTGGTGAGGTTGTGGGGAGATTGGAACCTTTATTCACTGTTGTTGGAAGTGTAAAATGGTGCAACCACTACGGAAGGCAGTCTGATGCTTCCTCAAAAGCTTGGAAATAGAAGTATCATTTGATCCAGTAACTCCACTATCCCCTAAAGAAACCACAGCTGCTACTCAAATGGATGTAGGCACACTCATGTTTATTGCTGCGTTATTCACAATAGGAAAGGAATGGAAGCAACCCAAGTGCCCAGAAACAAAAAAATGGATAAAAAAGCTATGATATCATCACACAATGGAATACTATGCAGCACTGAAAAAACAAGGAACTTGTAAAGCACTACACAACATGGGTGACCCTGGAGGACATTATGCTGACTGAAATATCTCTGCCACAAAAGGACAAATACGGCGTAACACCACTGTTATAAAGTAGGACTGACATGGAGGGTTGGGAGAACACTAGGAAAAAGAGTGGATAGATAATGAAAATTACATTGGAACAGATGAAGGCAAGGACTGTTTAAAATGAATTATGTGCTTAGGCGTTATATGTATGACAACAGTCTGGAATAACGAGTGCATTGCAAAGTGGACTGGGTGAGGGGAAAGGGGAAGTTATACATGAATGAATGAATATTTTTTTTAAAAAAAGAAAGTGAGCTACAGAGGGGAAGGGAGGGAAATGTACAACAATGAATGAATGAAAATGTAACTTCTCTGTAAATCTTCCGTTAAAATCACAATTAAAAAATATATTTGCGCATGTGCGTGTGCGTGTGCGTGTGTGTGTGTGTGTGTATCTGGTGGCCTAGTGGCAAGAAGCTGTACTGAAATCCCAAAGGCAGACGGTTTATGTCCACCAACTGCTCTGCGGAGAACGATGGGGAATTTCTTCCTGTGCGATTAACTTGCCTCTGAAAACCCACCAGAGGGTCAGCTATGGGTTGGTTCCGACTCAATGGTACACAACAACAACAAAAACAAAGCACTCTTTCCTTTCACTTTGGACTAATTTTGCCATTTTTTTGGACCAGAAAACTCTGCTGTGGACGCTGTCCTGTGCATTGTAGGACATTTAACAGCATCCCTGGCCTCTTCACACTCAATGCTAATAGCATTGACTTCTCAGCCAAAATGTGACATTTGAAATGAACTCAGAATGACTTCAGACATTGCCAAATGACCCTTGGGGAGCAAAATCCCCCACTTAAAATAGTCGCATGGCTCATTCTCTCAAGACTGTTAAATATCCCCTTATCATTGGGGCCTTTTGACCTCCTTTCTCCACCTCTGTCTTACTCTCTCTCACATTCTCTGTGCTGTTTATCTACTTAGTTATGGGTTAAACTGTGTACTCTCAAAACACATGTAGAAAATGTCAACCTCTCTCTGTGATTATCATTACAATCCCATTTGAAAATGAATTGTCTTTGTTATGTTAACTAAGCAGGATTAGTGTAGGATGTATCTTGACTCAGTCTAGCTTGAGAACTAAAATAAGAGATTAAAGAAGTGTTTACTGCAATCCCAGAGGCACGCAGTTCGAATCCACCAGATGCTCTGATGGAGAAGAAGGGGCAATCTCTTCCTGTACCAGTCGGATCTGATTTGACGGTACACACAATAATAATAATAATAATAATAATAATAAATAATAAAATATAAGAGATGAAAGAAGTATTTGAAAAGCAGAGATGGGGAAGGAGCGATGACAAACTGCATTAAGGTCTCCCAGAGGCAGAAGCTCAGAGACTGTCCCCCAGAGCTGAGAGAGAGAGAGAGATTTCACCTAGAGAACACTTGAACTTCAACTTCAGGCCTCCTAAACTGAGACATTATGACGTTCGTTTGTTAAAGTCACTCGTCATATGTCTGTTCCAGCACCACTGACATTTATGTACACATACATATATATGTACATACATGCATAAGTTTACCATAACATTCATTTTCTTGTAAAAGACTAAGTCATTTACTGATTTAGTTTGTCTGTTTTCTTTAGGAGAATTTTAGCCCCCTGGGGTCTAGGATGTTTGGCTGTGTTATTCACTGATGTGGCCCCAGAACCTGGAACAGTGCCTGACACACAGTAGGTGTCTGTCCACTCGTAACTGTTAGAAAAACGAATGAATGGCTAAACAGAATGCAGAAGAAAGCACTGGATGACACATGTGAGAAATAAATCAGTGACTTTTTCTTTTCATCTGACAGGCCCTGGATCTGAGTCTGACTTTACCCTTCCTGTCTTCCTCATCCACCTCCACCACCAGTGAGGGGTGCCGACTAAAGCAAGCTTAAAACAGGTTTTTTCTCTTTCTTGCTGGGGTGTGAGTGGGTGTGAATGCGTCACTGCTTGGGGGGTGCGGGAGGGGGCAAATCTCTGCTCTGACTTGTAGCTGCAGATTTGTTACATAAAGTGGAGGATCCTTGCCTGACACAGCCCCGCAAACCTACATTTGGGGACTGACGCAGCGTCCCTGCACCAGCCAGGGTGAGCAGGAAGCCCCCAGCCTTCCTTGGAGGACTCTCCGGGTTTCGGATCATCCCCTGGTCTTTCTCTAGCCCCCAGGGACTCTCTCGCATCAAGGGACAGGGCTTGCAAGATCTTCCAGGGTGAAAGGATTTACAGGAGGAGAAACTGAAGCTCAGAGAGGTTGCTATCATGTTTCCCAGTGAAGTCAATGATCAAGATTCAGACCAAGGGGTCTTGAAGCCCCGGGATGTTAAATATAGTGTGTTCAGGACTTCTGGAGCGCAGACCCCCTCCCCACCCTGCACGCCTCCCACTGGCTTAGTGAAAGGAGCCCTCCACCCACTCTCCCTTCCAAAATGCCTCAGAAGAACATCATACACTCCCCAGGCGGTAGTGCCTATATTTAAAGGCCCAGCAGCTGGTTCCAAAGAATGGAGAAACTGCCCAGTGTCACAGAGCAAGGCTGACTCTCCCAGCATTTCTTGTTTCTGCACACCAGGTCTCAGAGCCCCAAGCCCAGGCAGCAGGAAGCTCTCAGTGCTCACCTCCCACCCACCTACTCACCCTCCCACTCCCTGTCCTATTGCTGGGATTTTCCCAGACAGGAGTGTTTGAGGGAAAATGTGCTCCATGGAGGTGCCCTGGAAGCTGGGAACTGGTTCTGTTATCCAGAGACAGGCTGTGTGCCCTAAGGCAAACACCCACCCTCTCTGAGTCTCCAGCTGTCACTTGGCTGGGGTACTCCCTGGGGATGGAATTGACTCTCCCTGTGCCAGGAGGCACTAAGGTCCCCAGAGGAGCTGTGGGCCACACAGCTAGCGTATGACCCATCCTGCCTAGGGCCCACTTACAGTGGGTCTCTCTCTCTCTCTCTCTCTCTCTCTCTCTCTCTCTCTCCCTCTCTCTCCCCCCTGCATCCAATCAAATGAGTCTTGTCCTTTCCTGCCTCTCTTGCTGGCTGTGTGCATCCTCAGATTCGTTTCTAAGCCTCTTTGAGCCTCCATCTTACCGCTATCAGGTGGAATGAATACTCACTCCCTGGTCCTGGACCTCAGAGAGCTAGTGACGGAAGGCGAGGCACTTGCTAAGCTGTGTTTAGGGGACAATGGTGCGGTGAGGGAGCCCCAGGCAGAGAGAGCCGGGCTACACACTAGATCGGTGAGAATGAGCCCAATGCATAGGCTGAAGTGACCTTGATCTTCATGAGGGTCCCCTACTCCTACGAGATCTTGTAATAAGGGCAGATCAAGATCTAACTGTGGTCTGGTCTGAAGCCAGGTTGGGACTCAGGAGTTCAGGACGCTGGTTACACATTAATCTAGGGCTGGAAGGCCCAGCCTATTTATTGCAAGGGCCTGCCACCCTCTGGCCCACCAGGGGCTCCCCCAGCCCTTCCTGGTGGAGATCGATGCCCCTCCCAGGACACACGCATCTGGGCACCCTGTGCCACCCACCCCATCACCTCTCCTTGCTGCCACGAGGAAGGCACTTTGCTCCCTGGCTCATGCAGGGCCGGCCCCTGGAGATGGATCTTTCTGACAGGAGAGCCAGACAGCTCTGCATCCGCGGCCAGGGGAGGGGCGCCCATTCCCTCCCAGCACATCCCTCCAAAAGGGGCTGCTTTTTGAGCAGAAAGGCTGACAAGGTCACAGGCCTTATCAAGGAGGTTCTGGGTCCCTGATGCGATGATTGAGGGGCAGAGGTGGAGCTGGGAGCTCCGTCCCCCTGCTCATGGCCAACACCAGGCCCCACTCACCCGCCAGCGGGATGGTCAGATGGCAGAGGGCGACCAGGAGCAGCAGCCAGGAGCACGGCGAGGAAGTCATGGCTGAAGGATGAGGCGGAGAGGTCCAGGTGGGGCTGCTGCTGGCACACAGGGCCGAATTGCCTGAGCTCACCGCCGACCCCCGGCTCTCACAGGCGGCCGCTTTTTATAATGGGCTCCTGCCTCCGCCTCCTGCCTCCGCAGGAGTGGGAGGAGAGAGGAAGGGAGCCAGTGCGCCACGGCTGGATTCCTCGGGATGTTGCCAAGGAACCGCGCGGCTCCGTTGCTCTGGGAGAATGGCAGCGGCGGGGGCTGGTTGTTTAAAGTCCTGCGTCCTCACATCCTCACACCCGGACCAGCCTGGGAGGCTGAACCAGACATACCAGGGTTCAGAGGGCCACCTCTCCTCCCGTCTGCCCACCTAAATCGTTCCCAGGAGCTGGTACACGCCCCAAGATTTGCGCTGAGGCTGTAGCTCCTAAGGAAACAATAAACAAAAGGACAGATGGATAGAGTGCTGGGGGTCACTGGTCTAAAGTCTGGGGGTCCCACCCGCTGTCCAGGTCTGACAAGATTCTGCTTGGATCTGGGAATTTTATCTCACATGGCACAACATGAGAGAACCCCCTGGCGCCCACCCCTTAGAGGTCCAGATCCGGGCTAAGAGCAGAGTGATAAACTGGGATCTCTCTGGGGGGCTCATGTGATGCAACCCTCCAGCCCAGCATGCGGCTGGGCAACAGGAGGGGCCCACGGTAGTGCTCACTTCCTGCCCCACCTCATGTGGACAGATGGGGAAACTGAGGCCCAGGGAGAAGCAGAACAATTCCAGGTCCCTAGAGTATGCAGGTGGGGATCCTACCTTTGCTGCCATAGACAGGAAGACTGGGCCTTAGGAGATGTGAGGGACACAGGATACAGGAAGGCGCTTTTGCCTCCTGCTTCCTCCTCCCCAACCTTTGACCTTGGCCCTGGCCCTGGATTGCCACCCAGGTGCCTCTTGACTCCTCCCTGAATCTGCAACCTTCTCTGGGGCCACAGTCTTCCCGCTGCACAAGGCAGGGCTGGGAGGGGACTCTCGAACTTTCCCACTCTGGGTTCATCGTCGGTTAGAGAGCCAGGTGGGGCCTGCCAGCAGGCTCTGTGAAAATTGCTGTTAATGTTCAGGTGCGCCCATGGCCTGCTTCCATGCCGTCTTCAGGCACAGGAGACAATCCCTGAAGTACAAGGAGAGGCCAGCAGGAACCCAGCGAGGAGTTAGCTGTTTTCACCCTGTCCTGGACTGCTGGTCAGAGAGAACCAGCTGTCTGTGAACCACGGTTCCAGGTGGCTGAGTGAACTCGGTGCCTGGTGGGGTGGCGGAGGGTCCACAGCTCTCAAGGGAGCTCAGGGGTTCTCTCACTGCCCAGCCAACACCACACCCAGCACAGCAGAGATGACTGAGGCGGGGAGC